CCCCCTGCCACTCCCCCCTCTTCCTGCCTCCCACTGACCATGAGCGTAGGCAAGTATGTCACGGTCGAGCATCGCCCCGACAACATCGCCATCATCCGCCTGGACACCCCGGACTCCAAGGTCAACACCCTTTCCGGGCCGCTGATGGCCGAGTTCGAAAAGGTCCTCGATCACCTGGCCGCGCACCCGTCGGTTCGCGGCGCCGTCCTCACCTCGGCCAAGCAGGGGAACTTCATCGCCGGCGCCGACATCACCATGCTCTCGGCCTGCCAGACCAGCGAGGAGCTCAGCAAGGTGCGTCTCTTTTGATGGACACAACCATGCGTGCGCGCATCCGCGCGCTTGCATGTGCATCCCCACGCTCGCCGGGATTGCCTCTCCGACGCGACTCTCTCTCTCTCTCTCTCTCTCTCTCTCTCTCACCCATGCCCTGCCATTCGCTGATGGGGGACATCTTCGGCCTCCCGTTCTCCCTTCCGTGCCTCTGTCTGCCCTCCATGTGAACACCATGCAGCTCGCCGCCGGGGGCCAGCAGATCATGGACCGCATCGCCAACAACAAGATCCCCATTGTGGCCGCAATCAACGGCACCTGCCTCGGTGGTGGGCTCGAGGTGGCCCTGGCCTGCCATAGCCGTGTGGTCACCTCCGACCCGAAGACCACTCTCGGCCTGCCGGAGGGTGCGTCTTCCCTCCGGGGGTCCTCTTGCTCCGCCCGGCCGGCGATGGCCATGCGCTGATCCTCTCTTCCGCTCGCTCCCCCCGCCCCTCTCACTCTCTCTCTCCCCTCTTGCCCTGCTGGGGCCTCTGCCGTCTTTTCAGTCATGCTCGGCCTTCTTCCCGGGTCGGCTGGCACCTGGCGCCTTCCGCGCCAGATTGGCCTGTCCAATGCGCTGCCCCTGCTGCTGACCGGGCAGTCGGTCCGCCCGGACCGCGCTCGCCGGCTGAAGCTCGTCGACTCGGTGGCCGACCCATTTGCCCTGGAGTCGGCGGCCATCAAGATGGCCACCAGCCTGGCCGACCAGGCCAAGACCACCGGCAAGATCCCCGGAGCCGACCCCCACAATGCCTCGACCCTGGACAAGGTGGTCGAGCGGGTTCCCTTCGCGCGCAAGTTCTTCTTCCAGACCGCCAAGAAGCAGACCTACAAGAAGACCCACGGCAACTACCCGGCGCATGATGCCATCCTGGCCCAGGTGGAGGAGGCGTGCACCGCTTCCAAGGCCGTGGCCCTGGCGTCGGAGGCCCGGCGCTTTGGTGACCTCGGCATGACCCCCGAGAGCCGGGCCCTGGTGTCGCTCTTCTTCGGCCAGACGGCCCTGAAGAAGAATCGCTTTGGCAAGCCCAGCCGCGAGTACAAGAAGATCGGCGTCCTGGGTGCCGGTCTCATGGGCGCCGGTATTGCCCAGGTGCGTGTTTGGGCGGTCCTGCCGCGCGGGCCCGGTCGTCCTTCGGCCGCGGTCGGATCCCTGTGCCGACATGCGAGGGCCCCGTGCCGGGTTTCGCGCTTCCCTCTCTCCTCCTTCCGCCATGCGGCCCTGCGCCGTGCCTCTCCTCCCGTCCCCCCTCCCACCCCCCTCACCTCCGCCTTCGCCCCCCCCCCCCGCCCCCGTGTAGGTTTCCCTCGAGCGCGGCTTCGATGTGGTCCTGAAGGACCGCGATCTCGCCGGGCTTGCACGCGGCATGCAGCAGATTCGCGGCAACCTCGACACCAAGGTCAAGCGCCGGCAGATGAACAAGGTCGAGTCGGACGCCGTGATGTCCCGGCTGGCCGGTGTGACGGATGTGGATGCGGCTCGGGCCGACCGGCAGCTGGCCAGCGCGGACATGGTCATCGAGGCGGTCTTCGAGGACCTGTCTCTCAAGCACCGTGTGCTGGGGCATCTGGAGCAGCTGGTCCAGCCGCACACCGTGATCGCTTCCAACACCTCGGCCCTGCCCATCCGGGACATTTGCGCCGGGCTCCAGCGCCCGGAGAATGTGGTCGGCATGCATTACTTCTCGCCGGTGGACAAGATGCAGCTCCTGGAGGTGATCACCACCGACAAGACCTCGGCCGAGGCCAAGTCCGCCGCGGTGGAGGTCGGCATCAAGCAGGGCAAGCTGGTGATCGTCGTGCGTGACGGCCCGGGCTTCTACACCACGCGCATTCTGTCCCCCATGATGAATGAGGCTGGCCTGCTGCTGCAGCAGGGCGTCCCGGTGGCCGACATCGACCGCGCCATGCAGAAGTACGGCTTCCCGGTTGGGCCGATCAAGCTCTTCGACGAGGTGGGCATCGATGTGGGCAACCGCATCCAGCCGACCCTGGAGAAGGCCTTCGGCGCGCGCATGTCCGGCGCCAGCACGCAGATGCTGCTGGACCTGCAGGCGGCCGGCTTCCTGGGCCGCAAGTCCGGTCGTGGCTTCTTCGACTATGCCAAAGGGCAAGAACGGCAAGGAGACCCACCCCGAGGCCATGGCCATTGTTGCCAAGTACAAGGGTGCGTCGTTTTGCGTGTGCTTTTTTGCCCCCCCCCTCCCCTCTCTCTCTCTCTCTCTCTCTCTCTCTCTCTCTCTCTTTTTGCCCCTCCCGGCGTTTCCTTTCGGCTGTTCTTTCGTCCCACAGGGAGACGGCCCTTGCGCTCTGGCGTGGGGAGCGGCACTTTCGGGGGCCTTCATGCACATGTCTAACCTTTCGCCGGCCTCGCCCCGCCCCTCGCCCGCCTGTCGTTACGACACCCATCCAGTTGATCCCGCCGCTGACTCCTCGCCCGAGGACTACCCCCTGCGCATGACCTACCGTCTGGTGAATGAGGCCCTCTTCTGCCTGGAGGATGGGACCCTCTCCGATCCGCTTGATGGTGACATGGGTGCCGTGTTCGGGTGCGTTTTTTTTTCTCGCTGTTCCCCCTCCCCTGCTCACTTGGGGCTCTTGCTCGGGCTCCGGTGCTTGCCGCTTGTTTTTTTTTTTTTTTTTTTTTTCCCCTCCCCGGCGGGATGTCTGTCCAACTCACCGTTTTCCCCCCTCCCCCCCCCTCGGGCTCCTGGCTCGCGCCTCGTCATGGCCTCAAAATGCGTAGCCTTGGCTTCCCGCCCTTCCGTGGCGGTCCCTTCCGCATGATCGACACCATCGGTGCTCAGAACTTCGTCGACACCATGAACCGCTTCGCCAAGCAGTATGGCCCGCGTTTCACCCCCTGCCCGCTGGTTGTCCAGTACGCCAAGGAGGGCAAGAAGTTCTACCCCACCGAGAAGAAGTAAAATGGGACACACGGGCAGAAGCCGAGCAGGGAGGCGGGGGGGGGGG